TGGCTGAAACCGGTTTGACTCAGTGGTAGAGCGTCGGTCTGTGGACTGAAAGGTCCCGGGTTCGATTCCGGTCAAGGGCATGTACATTGGTTGCACATCCCCGGTAGGGGATGTGCAAGAGGCAGCTGGTCGATGTTTCTCTCTCATCGACATTTCTAGCTCTCTATCCCTCTCTCCTCCTCTTGGTAAAAAAATCAATTTTATATATATATATATATATATATATATATATATTTTTTTTTTTTTTTTTTTTTTTTTTTTTTTTTTTTTTTAAAGAATTGATCAGCCCTGGACGGTTTGGCTCAGTGGACCACAGGGTTCTGGGTTCAATTCCAGTCAAGGGCACATAACTTGGTTGCAGGCTCCTCCCCAGCTCCAGCCCTGGTCAAGGCTCATGCAGGAGGCAACTAATCAATGTGTTTCTCTCACATCAATGTTTCTCTCTATTTTTCCCTCTCTCTTCTACTCTCCCTAAAAATCAATGGAAAAATATCCTCGCGTGAAGATTAACAAAAACAACAAAAAATTGACCAAACTGAAAGGCACATCCTATTATTAGCCAGGAAGGTTCAATATTCCCTAAATTAAGATATAAATTTAATGTAGGGGAACTAGATAAGCTACTATTAAAGTTGGTCTGTTAAATAAATAAGCCAAGAAAAATCTGACTGAGGGACGACTAGTGCTATGATATTAAAATGCATGAAAAGCTACAGTAATTAAAATCGTTTGGTACAGACATACAAGACACATCTTAACCCACAGAACCAAACACACAGGACTTCAGTCTATGATAAAGGTGGCATTTCAAAGCATTGCTGAAAAGATGATGACTCAATCAATGGTGTCAGGGTCACAGGCTAGCAGTTCCACACCTGGAACAGAGCCTACACAACTTTAACCCTGACTTTCTTCCGGTCTTTGTCACCCCCTCAGGGAGGCCCCTCCCTGGTCACCCTCTTCAGGATCACAGCACCTAACCCCAACCCCCAACTTCTGAATCCCCCTTCTTGCTTTTTGTTTATTTCCCCTATCATACTTATTTCCAACCATTACTATTATTACTGTCTGTCTTCTCACTAGAGTGTAAGCCTGTGAGGTCAAGGATATTCCTATGATTTTTGCTCCCTGCATCCCCAGCATGTAAGGCACTCAGCATGTACTTCTTAAATGAAGGAAGATATTCTGTGGCACAGAGCGTTTGGCAGCCAACTCCCGTCCACCTTCGCTGTGAGCACATGTTTGCACCTGGACCCAGATCCAGACCGAGGCCCCTTGCCAGTTTCTGGTTGGACTGGGGCATGTGTCTTCATCTTTGTCAATGGGACCAGGGTGCTGGGGAGATTTATGGGTGAAGAAGTTTCCCTCACCGCTAAAAAACAAACAAACAAACAAAAACATATGGGGGAGAGCACCCCTTTCCTTTTCAAGGTTTTGTCATGCCCACACGATGCTTGGCACCACAGCAGCCATCTGTGACTGCGAGAGGAAGGTCAACATGGAAGATAAAGCAAGCAAGCTCTGTGCTTTACCAGAGCGGGTGTATCCCTGAGTTAACCAGCTCCGGGCTCACATTTCTAAAATAAACACAGAATTTTTTAAAACCTCTTGTGCCTGGCTTGTATGGCTCGGTGAATGAGTGTCAACCTATGAACCAGGAGTCATGGTTCAGGTTTCAGGCTCGATCCCCCATGACAGCTGATCAATGATTCTCTTTCATCATTGATGTTTCTGTCTCTCTCTCTCTCCCTCTCCCTTTCTCTCTGAAATGAATAAAGATATAGATTTGTAAAAAGCTATTTGTAGTGGCTCCTCTGGCTTCTGGAAGCAGAAAGCAGACTGGGGTCACTACCATTCACAGCCCCTGGGGTCTGCAGGGGCTTCCCAGGGGGTGCGGGGAAACATTTAGCAGCCTGCTCTGAGGGGAGGTGCCTGCACACGGTCAATTGCAATAATGGCCATGAACAGGCACCAAGTTCCTGCCAATACAATCCACTCCCATGAGCCAGTGAAACCAGCTCCAGCACCCACTGCTTGCATCCTCACATGACGCAAACACACATATGCTGGTAAGGAGTAAATTCCTAGATATATTTAAATGGCAACAAAAGCATTTATGATGAGCTTTAATTATGTAATTTATGTTTTCATGTACACACACACACACACACACACACACATATATATATATATATATATATATATATATATATATATATATATGCATAGACTATCTTTGGGAAAATATTCAAGAAATTTGAACAAGATTGTGGAACTAGAAGGAATGAGAAACTATTTATTATATACCCTTTTGTAAGTGGCTTGAAATCTTTATTATGAATCATTTTTATGGAAATTACAACTTTTTTAATCCTCATCCGAGGATATATTTCTATTGATTTTAGACAGAGGCAGGAGGAGAGAGAAGACACACTGATGTAAGAGAGGAACACTGATTGGTTGTCTCCCATCTGAATGCTGAACGGGGATTGAACTCAAAACCTAGGCATGTGCTCTGATGAGGAATTAAACCCACAACCCTTTAGTGCACAGGACAATGCTCCAAACGAGCCAGGCAGCCAGGGCTGAAAATTACAATTTTAAAAAATTATACATGTCACTAAATTGTCATTTTTGCAATATTCTCCTTTCCTTGATTACATACTTTACTTTTTTTATACTTAAAACAACTTTCAGTAGATTTAATAACCCCTATCCAAAACTGTATCACTAAACCAAATAAACTAAAATTAGAAAGACACAATTTTGCATTTTTTCCCCCAATTAAGCTAAATAACAAAATCACTGCGGTTCAATTTCGAGTCAAATAAAAATTACACACAAGGAATAATTTAATATACAATGGCTTTTTGCTAAAAGATAAATTGAGCCTGGTATGCAAAGCAGCCCCGTATCCATGACCTCACCGAGCAAGGTCATCTTGCACCTCCCAGTCCTCAGTGCCACTTGGAGGGCATCAGGATCTAGTACTCAGTGGCCTAGAGAAAGGAAGCCATGACAGAGTGCGAGGAGTGGTCTGCAAACTGACAGCGCCTCCCGCCCCCAGAGCACCCACGCTTCTCACCGCAGATGCTGTGTGTCACACAGAAGCCTGGCATTCAACAACTTCCCTTGTAACCACCATCAAGGAGGTTGTGTTAGTCCTAACTGGAAACCGCCCTCTTGTCCAATGTGACTTCCTCTCAATATTTAGTGTCGGAAGCACAAGGAAATAAAAGTCATGGTCAAACTGGTATTTCTCCCCGTGTGCTTCCGCCTCCCCTATGCCAGGAAGTTGCACTCAAGTTTCTGTCGAGTGGTTGCCCAACAGGACCCAGCAAGCCAGGCTTACGCCTGATGACCGTGACTGCCACAGAGGCGGGCTGAGGCTCGGTCACAGGTGTGGCAGTCACCCCGAGGACGCTCACTGTACAGCACACGCGTATGATACAGGGGCACTAACGCCTAAAGCAGCTTTTTCTTTACCATGACAGACGGTTCAACAACAGGGATGTAAAAATAGACATGGGGGAGGAAACATATGTCTGTTTTCTTTCCCACCCTCCATTTTTCTATCATCAACACAAATCTAAAACCATTTGGTAAATGTTAAGACACGTATTAAACGTAAAGAGTCAAACCTGAGGGGGGAAATAAAAACAAGAAGAAATGAAGGAGCTAGTGAGCGGCAAAAAAGATCCACAGATCTTCACAGACATCCACTCATCACAATGCTTACAAAACAATGGGTTTCTTTAAAATGTCTGCAAGCTCTTAGAAGTTTTGAATCCAGGCTGAGCTAGGCAGTAAAAAATAAATAAATAACCTAAAGATTTAAAAATATTAACATGTATTACTTATACAATAAACTAGAGGCCCAGTGCACAAATTCATGCACAGATGGGGTCCCTCGGCCTGGCCAGAGATCAGAGTCGGACAGCCAGGAAGAGGGACCATGGGAAGTTGGCCAGCCACAAGAGGTTGGCTGTGGGAGCGCACTGACCACCAGGGGGCAGCTCCTGCTTAAGCATCTTCCCCCTTGTGGTCAGTGTGTGTCATAGCGACCTGTCAACCATCGTTTGGTCAACCAATCATTTGGTCAACCAATCAAACTAGTCATAACGGTCGCTTAGGCTTTTATATATAGAGATAATTTTATATTACTGTACATTAACTTACAAAAATGCAAGAGAGTCTTAAAGTCATATAACTTTCAACATGATCTGAAACACAAACCACACCAGCTGAAACTGAGTCAGTGTGAACTGCTGCCACTAGCCACAGTGCATCTGAACGAACAGAACCAAACCATTTCTTCTCATCTACTCTCCCTTCAGTAGTGCTGAAGACTAGACCAACAATGGAAAAACCAAACGTTACACAAAGAAATGATACAAGCTGGAACACAAAAGGAAAAAAGAGGTGACAGCAATTATCATTTTTAGAGTCTGGGACAAGAAATTTAATACAAAACAGCTCAACATTCTGCATATGTATATGGGAAGATTTAAAGGCATCGTTTATATTGGCTCAGCTTGTAAGCTAACATATGGTGCAAGCTCCGTTTAACAGCAGAAAATGTGGGCCCACAGTAGGCTTCCCATCTGGAGTGGGCAGACCTGACTGAGCACAAATTATTACCACTGCAAAGGGACTAGAGTTCTATAACAGCCACATCCATCCCTGGCTGTTCAATTACCAGTCAAGGGCATGTACTTGGGTTGCAGGTTCGACCCTTGGCCCCAACTGGGCCACATGTAGGAGGCAACAGATCAATGTATCTCTCTCCCATAGATATTTCTCTCCCCGCCTTCCACTCTCTCTAAAAATCAATAGAAAAATATTCTCGGATGAGAATTCACAACAAAACAAAACAAAACAAAACAATCCATACCGAGATGAATATTCATCAAGGAAGTATTTTCCAGGCCATTCCAAGAAACAGAATCACAAACACCAATAAGCACCTATGCTGGGGAGAACGGCCTGACCACACTCACCGTTTTCCACATAGGGATGGAAGGGCAAGACCAGGGCAAGGATGACCCTGCCTCTAGTTGGCTCCAAGACACTTCTGATATCTTTTAACAAAGTCAGGGGCTGATCACAGCGGTCCAGCAAATTCAAGCAGCTGATGACATCATACTGGAACCCTGTATTCTGCCATTCATTTATACCGAGCACTCTGGAAAAATCAGAAAGAACTGGATTGATACAAAACTCCCTTACAGACATCTTTAAAAATAACCGAGATGCCAGTAAAGGCTCTAATTTTGTCTTCTAATTCAAAGTGAATTAAAAATCTTCATTTATAAGCTATATTCGCAGAAATAAGAGTCAGGGCAAGAGAAAAATAGCTACCATATTTTCTTAAATTTAGCATTTCACCTATTTCCAAATCTCAAAACATATAAAATTTTCTTTTCAAGTGCTAATCATTATTTAATAATTATGACAATATGATAAAAATGAATATAAAACTAAAGCATCAAATCCTTGAACATCAGTTAATAAAGAAAGAGTCCCACTTTCTACATAAACTGGAATTTAATCATAAAATACATATTTATGGTTTCTATTCCTAGTGTCCCTATTTAAACAAATGTTTTTTATTGTTGACAGTATTACAGATGTCTCCCATTCCGCTCTTTATCCTTTGTCCCAGTTACTACCCCCACCCAGGTCTTCACCCTCTCCTAATTTTAAGAAAGGCTGGGGATGTACAGATAATTCCCATTTTCAACCTATGACCTGTTGAGCATATCTGTTCCCAGAAGAGAGATACTACTTCACACTTTAAGATTTTCACGTCTAAATACCTTTACAGGAGAGAAAGCACAGGACACCCCATTAAAGCTGTGAGCTCATGCAGGCACAGTCTACACACCACCACAGCCCTCAATCTCTCCCTCTCTCCTGCCCTTTTTCTCAAAGAACACTCTGAGTGCTTTACAAAGTTTTACCCATAGAAAGGGGGAGATTTTATATCGGGTCTTTTTCAGCCACACATCACGGCATTTTTTATCTTCTTTACTCCTTCTGCTTGGTTACAGCAATCAGAATGTGGTAGGCGATGCCTGTTACAATGGACAGGAAAAGGATCCCCAGCCCTGGCCAGGTGGCTCAGTTGGTTGGAGCGTCATCCCATACACCAAAAGCTGCAGGTTCAACTCCCGGTCAGGGCACATACATAGGTCCTATCCCCTGTTGGAGCATGTGTGGGAGGCAACCAATGTTTTTCTCTCAATCTTTCTCTAAAGATCAATGAACATGGTTACTGGGAGGATTTAAGAAAAAGGAATCTGATAAAAAGTCTTTCATAATATAGCAGAATAACCTAGAAAATTCTAAACATATCTTGAGGGCTGCTTGGGGAAAACTCACTTTGCTTCCCACACTTACTTTCAAAACACAGATTTTTTTAAAAGTGGGCCGAGAGTCAGATTAGGAATTTCAGCATGACTTAAGCTACTGTTACAACAAAGATCAGACATTTGAAACGTTAATTTCTAAATGAAGGAATTAGGTTTCATCATCACCACACAGACCTAGGAGGATTTATCAATGACAGATAGCTGGAGCTAAGGGAGGTCTTATGAATCAGTCCTATGACACCCCTAACAGCTTTTTAAACTCAGAGGATGACAAGGACTTGGATGCTGGAGCTGGGAGAAAGGTCAATCTCCTTGACCTCTAACTCAACTTCTAAGGCCCAGTTGTGCCGGATCGTATACACACGTGCTCCCTTCTTCCATGAAAAATCCCATTGGATATCCGTTTGCAGTAACGTTCCCTTCCGCCCCTTTCCTACAGGGCCTCCTCCTCCCTAGGCTGAACGTCTGTGTCTGCCAATATTCTCAGAGCTGCTTTGTCCTGCTCCAGGAGCTCCGCGGACACACTGTATAAGCAGAAACTTAGGTGGGTAGGAAAGTGAGTGTATAATTCTTTCTCCTTTCTCAGGCGAAGCCCAGCTTCCTTTAGGTCTTCCCACTTCCCACCTCCCCATTCTATACTCAGCCCCCTTTGCTCCCTTTCAACAGAAGCCATACTGAGCAAAGAGCCTTCTTCCAAAGTCTCCCAAGCAATGGATGGTCTTAAAACCAAGATTTGACACTTCATGTTCATTAGGATGGCTATTATAAGAAAGGAAGGGAGGGAAGGAGGGAAAAGAGAGAGAGGGAAGAGAAAAGAAGGTAGGGAAGAGAAAGGGAGGGAGGGAAAGGGAAAAAAATAAGTATTGGCCAAGATGTAGAGAAACTGAAACCCTTGTACACTGCTGCAAATTGGTATAGCAGCTATGGGAAAAAATTCCTTAGTAAGTTAAACAGAAATCAGTGTGGCTCAGGAGGTCACGGTTCGATTCCCAGTCTGGGCACATGCCAGGGTTGCAGGCTCCATCCCAGGTTGGCTGGAGCGCATGCAGGAGGCAACCAATCAATGTTTCTCTCTTACATGGATGTTTCTCTCTCTCTTCCTCTTCCTCTCCCTTCCTCTCTGTAAAAATCAGTACAAACATGTCTTTCTCAAAAAAGTTAAACATAGAACTACCATATGACCCAACAATTCCACTGGGTATATACTCAAAAGAAGTGAAAGCAGGGACTCTAGCAGGTATGGGTACACTCAGGTTCACAGCAGCACTATCACAACAGCCGAAAGGTGGGGACGGCCCAAGTGTCCACTGACAGATGAAGGGGTGCAAAAGGAGAGGTTTCTGACACCTGCTACACATGGATGAACTCTGAAGGTACTATTGTAAGTGAAATAAGCCAGTCACAAAGAACAAATACGGTAAGATTCCTTTTATTTGAGGTACCTAGAGTAGTCAAATTTGTAGAGACAGAAAGTAGAATAGTGGCTGCCAAGAGCTGGGGAGAAGGAGCGGGAGTTAAGTGTTTAATGGGTACGAAGCCGCTTGGGAAAATGAAGAAGTTCTGGATGGTTACACAACAATGTGAATGTGCTTAACCCCACCGACCACACACTTAGGAATGAATAGGACAGTAAATTCTATATTATAGATTATTACAATGATTTTTTTTTTCATTAAACTATTTCAGAATGCCAGATTCTAACCAGGGAACGAGCCCCTACATCTGATCTCTTTCCAAGCTGGCTCGCACCTGCTCTCTTCCTCCGAATAGTCCCAACTCTGCCAAGGAAAGTGGACTCCTCTCTCAAGTCCACTTCACTGTAATGTGGAAAGTTGCTCTTTTTAGTTCCTAATCATGGAAAATTGTTTCTGATGCATATCATTAAATAATATGCTCTCAAGAAGAAAGACACCTACAATCAAGAAAAACAGCCCAAATCATGTCTAACAGTTATACCTGTATTTCTTCTTCTGAAGCTGCCATATCATCGTTTCAGACATCTCAGTGGCATAAATTTCTTCAAAATGCGGGCTCATGATTTTTGTGACTTCTCCATCTCCAGCACCTAAGTCGAGAAGTCTATGGGTTTTCCAGTCTGGGTTAATTCTAAGCAGTCTCTGAAACTGATCTGGGGAAAACACAAACATTGAACCTCTTCCGAGCAACCTGGAAAAAAAGGACAACAGGGAAGAGTCAACACAAGGGAAGCACAGCCCATACACATACACACACAGAGTGGCCATGGGACTCAGCACCAACAGCTCTTTGAACTTACAAAATGTTTAGTTTGTATGATTATATGATTAAAATATATTTTACATGATTTATATCATGGTTAAAAATCAATGTTTGTAAAATAAGGAAGCATAGGTAGCATAATTTGTCTTTGAGGTGCAAATACCCAAAAGGAGTGGGGCAAAAGAGGAATAAAAGATGAAAGGGAGGCCCTGGCTGGTGTTGCTCAGTGGATAGAGCATCGGCCTGCAGACAGAAAGATCCTGTGTTCGATTCTGATCAAGGGCACATGCCTGGGTTGCAGGCTCAATCCCCAGTAGGGGGCATGCAGGAGGCAGCTAATCAATGATTCTCTTTCATTATTGATGTTTCTATCTCTTTCCTCGCTTCCTCTCTGAAATCAATAAAATATCTTTTTTTTTTTTTAAAAAAGATGGAAAGGGAAAAGAATGAGAAGGGAAGAGAAAAATGACTAAGAAAAGATGAATGTGAAAAATTTATTTCAAAATAGAAGGAGTAATAGAAAACATATTTATCAGGTTAAAAAGATGGCAGACCAACAGAAACAGGCCACAGCACTAGCCAACAATACAAAGCAGAAACACCAACTATGAAAAAGAAGCCTTTATGAAACCATACAAATAGTAAGAAAAAATAGTTGTAGTATGATTTATTTTTAAGACAAAAGAAAAAAATAGTGGTCCTTGTAATATCAATTAATTTGCATCTAAAAAGTAGATTCATACTTGTGTCAATTTATATACAATTGATGGGACCTATTATTTCTAAGGATACTAAAAAAAAACTTTCAAAATCATAGCAATGCCTTTGGAAAACAGACTGAGGCGCTCAGGGGTGACAGAGTCCTGGAAAGAAGGCACAGCTTACACCAAGCCTCCTGAAGCCTCGTGGAAATCACACACTCCAATCAGAACTGATTTTCTGGCTCTCAAATCATGGCTGGTCTAGACCAGGGACCTCACATTTTTTTACATTTTTACCCACAGACAGTGCACAGTGATCCGGGTGCTCCCAGGGCCTTTCTGTACGCTCAGCAGCTCGGGAGCCATCTGCCTTTGGCCCGGCTTTTGCTCACATAGCTACAGTCCAGTCTGCCCTCCCTCTGCCAGAACACAAAGTGAGTGTTTGCACACAGAATTTTGTGTGTACTAGGTCCTTTAAGAGGGTCCTGCATTTCTAACCACCTTTCCCTTGCAATAGCAACCCTGCTACTTTTCACAGCCAGATGTTATGTGGGCAACTTTCTCAGTTCTGGAGCTCTCTGTTGGGGATCCCAGCTTGGGGATTAGATCCCAAAGCTCTCAGTGGCAAACCCCCACAGCTGAGGTACCTTTCCAAAACTTCAGTGCTGTCTGTGGCAGCCTGTCCAGCCCTTTTGTGCCTCCGCCCTTCCTACTAGTCTCTATGTGGTCTCCACATGCCTGCCTTGGTTATCAGGGTTACCAGCTAGTCTTAAGTTGATTATCCAGGATGTTTTCTTTCTTATTTCAGTTGTAATTCCAGTTTGGACCTGGGAACATCCACTTACTCTGCCGCCATTTTTCTACACTTAATTTTATCTAAGACAAGTTGTTTTTAATTGTCAATTGTTCATATGTTCTAGTGGGAAAACAGGCTGCAGAGAGCAAACCTGAGAAAAAGAACTGGACTTACGGAAATAGCTACACAGAGTTTCACTCAGGAACCTGTCAGAGCAAGGAGGTTGCTGAGGTAGCGGCAGCAGGCCTGGGGCTGCATGTGGCCAGTGTTAGTGCTGGCTAGCAAAGGACCAACAGTCAATTGCAAAATAGTTCTTTGGCTAAAATGTTTCTAGTTATAAAACAGCACGCTTCCCTGGCCAGGGATGCAGCAAATCTTTAACAAAATAATCATAAAATTCTAGAGCTAGAGGTTATCTGAGGTCAAAGCTCAGATGTCATCTCACTGCTCTACATCTAAAAAAAGGCACCAGAGAGAGAGGCATGGCCCTACTTCCAAAGATCATCACCAACTGAGGCTCCACAAAAAAAGTTAAAACTTCCCTGACAGGTTTGGCTCAGTGGACAGAACGTCAGCCTGTGGATTGAAGGGTCCCAGGTTCGATTCTTGTAAAGGACATGTACCTTGGTTGCAGGCACATTCCCAGTAGGGGGTGTGCAAGAGGTAGCTAATCAATGTTTCTCTCTCGTCGATGTTTCTAACTCTACAGCCCTCTCCTTTCCTCTCTGTAAAAAAATCAATAAAATATATATTTTTTTTTAATTAAAACTGTGGCCGAAAACAAGGGCATGTACCTTGCTTGCGGGCACATCCCAATAGGTGTTGTGCAAGAGGCAGCTGATCGATGATTCTCTCTCATCGATGTTTCTAACTTTCTATCCCTCTCTCTTCCTTTCTGTAAAAAAAAAAAAAAAAAAAAAAAAAAAAAAAAAAAAATCATTAAAATATATATTTAAAACAATTAAAACTGTGAAAAAGAAATCAAAATTCATTGAGCCCAGACAAACTTTGCCATCCAAGGGTCATTGGGAGAAGGGGGTAGACAAGACCAGAAAAGTCAGATTTCCTGCAATGTGTGGGACAGTCTATACAGTGAAGAATTATCCCCCTTAAAATGTCGACACACTGACCTAGCTCAACCCAGGTTTCCAGCAAATACTAGTACATGTCATGGAAAGGTCTGGCTCTCTATTTTGCCTTTAATCCCCAAAGTTTATGATGTCCATAAAAAAAATTTTTAAGTGTTGAATAAGCAGCCTATGTTCTCTGGTCACAATGAAAGTCCCTTCCAGACTCCAGAATCTGCAGAGGAGGTGGTCCTCCTTATAAACATCTTCCTTATAAAATCAACGCCAACACATCCACCAAGTCTCTCCTTACCTGGCCTTCCCCTTCCATCACAAAGGAAGGTTGATAAGCATCTCATCTTCTTATTCAAGAAGGTGCCCTAGTAATTGCTTCTGAGAGAGATATCCACTCACGGTAACAATCTAGCACTACAATGGATGGAAGTAACAGGGACTAAAAGTAAGCTTTCAGCTGAGAATAAGGACACAGGGCAAGAGTGGTTTTGTTTTGAGTAGGGAGGGATGAGGGTTAAAAAGAAGGCTAAGAGCTGTAAATAAGGGAAGCCCAAAAAGGATTTATTAACTGCACTCTCTCACTTTAACCAAACCGTGAAGTTCCATATGCAGGGAATTTTAAGCAGAGTTCAATGGTGTAAAGGGAGAGGGAAGCAACTAAGAGTTTGAACTTACCCCAAATTACATGCAAAATGTTGAGTGTAAGGACTATGAAAAGAGGATTCCTACCTTTTATAGCTTTCAAAGAGGTACAAGACCCTGAAAAGTTTAAAAATCACTGCTAAAGTGACTTGTCTGCTTTTCAATGAAAAGATAAATGGAATAGAACAGAAATTCAATGTAGCCAATCTTGAAACAAAATGTCAGACCACATTGTAGAAATTCAAGTACCAATACAAAAATAACAACTGTTTGCCAAGCAAACTTCAGCCAATTTTACACAAGCGATGAAGAAAACTAAGTAAGAAATCTTGAGAAATGACTCAAGGAACCTAAAAACATACTTAAGGACCAGATGATAGACTGGGGATGCAGACATCCAGTAGAAGCTGGCTCCAAACCTCAGTGGGGAAGAACAACTATAAAGAACCAGTAGCTTTAAATGGTCCCACTGGCTTTTCTCCTTGGCATTCTGGGTTCTTGGGCGTTGGGCTCTTTAAAAATGTGGCCAAAGGAGGATAAAAAACATTCCTAAGGCTTTTCTAGAAGTTTAAGTGAGAGAGCCACTCTAGGAATAGAGACTTCCATTTTAAGTTTACAGAAGTCTGCTGAGCCTAGACATCACATAAGAACAGATACAGGACCTTCACTTGCAAGAAGCCAACTCCCATGGCTTGGGGCAGATCAGATGCCCCCAGAAACTAACTCCTGGGACATGTGCATTAGGCCAAGATCTGACTCCTCAGCCCATCTATGACAAGGGCTTGGGGTCAAGTATCGTGCTACACCCCCTTCATCATCAGCAGCAACATCACCCACTAGAAATGCAGACTCCCAGGCCCCACCTATGACCTACTGGCTCTGTTTAGCATATGAACCAGGTGAGTCCTGCGCACATCAGAGTTGGGAAGCACTGCTCTAAGTACTTCCCAGAGGAGAAACGCAGACTAAGATGACTGAGGTTGTCGAATGAGGCTGTCGTTGTGGTGAACTTGAAAAACAAGGCTGAGACAATGGACCTAGTGCCAAGAATTTTGACTCACTGCCGAGGTGGTCAACGTCCTGAACAAGATCTCCTTCCCTTTTCTTTTTCTTTTTTTTAACACAAGGGCAAAGAAAAGACATCCAAAATTCACTTACCCATTGATAGATGTTCTAGACATAAACAGACTAAAAACAGATGACACAAAGGAGTGATACAGTTGGATAAACAGCCAGCCCGATTTCTCAATGCTGTTGTTTAAGAAGATCTGTGTTCCTTGGTCGAGGTAACTCTGAACAAACACATCCTGGAGTGATTCACGTAATTTCTCTCTGTTGCACACGTACCACTGGGGAAAAAAGGAAGAAGAAAATGAAAACACACAACTGTAGCCTCTGGACTCTGAGGTTAGGGAAACTCTGCTGGCCTCTCCTGCACTGGGACGCAGCACAGAAGCCATACCCAGCACTGTGAACCCTGTTCTCAGGTCAGAGAGCAGTCAGATGAAGCAATGATTTAACTCATTTAACTCAAAACCACCAAACAATTCAGTGGCAGAATAAGCATCAACATTTAATCCTCTAGAGACCAGATTATGCTTCCTTTTCTTCCTGTGGTCCATATATACCATTAAAATATTGAGTGTGCTTTACCAGATCATAAGACATTCTTACAGACAGGGCAAAACGTGCTTGAGAAAAATTATGCAGCTACTCCAGGCCACACTGTGATCAATAAGAAGATAACGTAATCACATGCTAAGAATCAGATTTCCAGGAATACACTTTTCAGAACAAAATTCAAGAATTTTAACTGTGTCTGAAATTTAATCTTCCATAATAAGTGTTTTCCATTTGCATTTAGAGTTAGTGAACCAGCAGGGGGAAGAGATGGACTCTGCCATTCTTTTTTTTATTTTTTTTACTTTTATTTTGAGGAGAGAAGGGAAAGTGAACAAAATAAACTCATGAAAAAAACAGATCCAGAGACATAGAAGCATGAAACAGACTTGAATCTCAGAGGGAGGGTAGGGGTAAGAGTATGGGGGAAACGGATCAACCTAAGAACTTGTATGCATATATGCATAACCAATGGACATACAAGAGGTGAGCCAGGACCTGTTTGGCTCAGTGGATAGAGCGTTGGCCTGCGGACTGAAAGGTCCCGGGTTCGATTAGGGTCAAGGGCATGTACCTTAGTTGCGGGCACATCCCCAGTGGGGGGTGTGCAAGAGGCAACTGGTCGATGTTTCTCTCTCATCAACATTTCTAACTCTCTGTCCCTCTCAATTCCTCTCTGTGTAAAATCAATAAAATATATATTAAAAAAAAAAAGGGTGGTGAAGACCTGGGGCAGGCTAGAACTAGTTAAAGGGGATAAATGTAATGCTTTCAACAATCAAGATTTTAAAAAAAGATTGTGAGTGCTAGGGGCTGGGGGGGGGCCATCGGAGTACTTGCTCATGGGCAGGGGACTTCTTTTTGGAGCGATGGAAATATTCTGACAGAGTGGATGGCTGCACAACACTGTGAATGTACAGCACTAAAAAGCACAGAATTGTATATTTTAAAAGGATGGATCTTATGGTATATCAAGTATCTTTCAATAAAGCTGTTATTTTAAAAAAAATACACATATAGACATCCAGATTTTTATTTCCAGAAATTAAAAGTATTTTATATATATATATATATAAAATACTTTTAACTTTTTATAAAAAAGTATTTTTATAAAATACTTTTAATATTTTTTTTTATTGATTTTTTTTTTTACAGAGAGGAAGAGAGAGGGATAGAGCGCTAGAAACGTCGATGAAAGAGAAACATCGACCAGCTGCCTCCTGCACACCCCCTACCGGGGATGTGCCCGCAGCCAAGGTACATGCCCTTGACCGGAATCGAACCCGGGACCCTTCAGTCCGCAGACCGACGCTCTACCACTGAGCCAAACCGGTTTCGGCTAAAAGTATTTTGAAATTTGAAGTGTGAAAGCAAGCTTCTTTAAAAATGCAAATTCTTAATCCAAATCTGATCAGGTCACTTCCCAGAAGCCTTTGGATAAAATCCAAAGAGCTCAATCTGGTTTAGGAAGCTCTACATGATTAGCCCATTCTGCCACAGCCTCTCCTCAGGACAGTCCCTATCCCCCCACTAACACCTGGCGGCTCCTTTCCCTGCTGCCTCCCAGGGCACCTGTTCTGTCCCCTAGGTTTTTCACCACCCCTTCTCCCTTCCTCTTCACCTGGTTAATTCAATTCATGCCTAAACATTTCAACTACGGTTCCTTTGAACTTCTACACTAGGCTGAGAACCCCATTCTAACACCCTCTCTTCAGAAACATCTATGACCACTGAACTAAAAAAAAACTACATACTTGCATGTTCAGTGTCAACCATCCCAGGAAGACAGAAAGTTTCATAAAACCAGGACAATGAATGACTTCATTGCCTGGCATGGGTACAGATGAATCATAAATGTCCATTGCAGGCAGTCCAACAGATAGAATGTTGACTTTGTCGACTCCTAAAGCTCCAAGGGTTTTGCACAGCCTTGCTTACATCCAGTTCTGCAAGGGACGGCTGGCTCCACTGCCCACCCAAAACTGTGTTACCTGGCAGGCAACGGACATTGGCTGAGGCCCCCAACCAAGCACTCTGCACCTCCTGGCTTCTGTGTGGGGCAGCTGGGCCTGGGCAGCTCCCACAGGCTCACGTTCCTGGTCAAGACGTATGCTTTAGAAGGAGTGTCTTTCACAGAAGCGTCCCTTCACCTCCACCCAGTTTGTCTGCTTGAGACTCACTTTCAGAGAAGCAGGACTATTCTGCCCAATTAAATTGGACTGGGTGAGCTTAGAGAAGAGGTATTCTCATCTACACAGTAACTTAGTTATTACAGGACAGGGTTTCTCAACTCAACACCCCTGGCATCTGGGCCGATAACCCTTGTCACCAGGCCGTCCTGGGCACTGCAGAGTGTTTAGCAGCAGCCCTGTTTCTACTCATCAGCGCCAGTAGCAGCCCCTCGTGTGACAGCCAAAATGTCCCAGACATTGCCACAGGTCCCCCAGGAGGCAGAATCCCCACTGTTTACGATCCCTACATGGGCTTCCACAGGAAATGTCATCGTTCTGACTTTCCAGCAGCGTTTCCTATCTAAGCTTAACAGTGGTGTCAGGAACTTATGGTTGTTCCTGTAATGGGAATCAGAAACCAAAAGAAACAAGTAATGGGATTATGATGGTGGCCAGGTTTAAATGAGTGGCCCCTTGCCCTTCTGACTAGAGAGAAATCTTTGTGGGAGCCCCTGCGACCTTGGGCAGTCCCCCTGGATTTCTGCCTGAGACAACCCAGCTTCAACGAACAGCTGTAATGAGCTCGCAGCACGTGGTCTGCAGACTCCTGTGCACTTTCAAGCCAGTGAGTCCATTGAATGTATGCTCCTCCAAGACCATAAAGACAAAGGTGCACAGATAAGAACAAAGATTATGCCTGTAAATTCTCACTCCAACTTTGTTTAATCTAAATAAATAAGTAAATATTTTAAATAAAAAATTCTAATCAACCCAGAGTTATGCTATGTGGTCATCTGCTGATGTCAAATATAAAATGGGATTGGATGTGATAAATAAACATAACATCTTCTAAAAATGACAGCAACTAGCAGTGTCCTCCCTATTTGCAACAAGACTTCAAATAGTCTAACAATTAGCCAAACAATGAATAGCCAAATCAGGTAGATGACATAGTTTTGGAGGTACTGATGGTAAAAATCAAAATAATGAAGTACTACCTGCTGAATCACTCCTTCAAAGTGTAGAAATGCAATTTTCTTACTAAGCTATTAGAGGCCTGGTGCACAAACTTCATGCACAGGGGGGTGGTTCCCTCAGCTGAGCCTGCACCCTCTCCAATCCAGGACCCCTTGGGGGTTGTCCAACTGCCTCTCACAATCCGGGGCCACTGGCTGCTATCAGCTCACCTGCCTACCTGCCTGATCGCCCCTAACCACCTCTGCCTGCCTGCCTGATCACCCCTAACTGCTCCCCTGCTGGCCTGATTTCCCCTAACCACCCTGCCTCATCTCACACCCAGAACCCAGGATTCCCTCCTCCACCTGGTCACAGGCACCCAGGAACTAGGCTTCCCTCCCTCTGGCCGGCTGCAGGCGCCCAGGACCCGGGCCGGCTTCGCACAGGCTGGCTGCAGCCACAGGGGATTGAGGGGCAGGCCACTTGTCCCTCTCCCAGCCAGAGGCACAGGAGCAGCCACTGGCATCCAGGACTGTGGGGCGGGCAGCTTGTCCCTCTCCCGGGCCACAGCCTGGCTGGTCCCCTTTCCTCTCTTGTGAGCTCATTTGTGCTTGGCTGGTCCTCATTCCTCTCCCCAGTGTTGAGTGTCTGAGCTATTCTGGCTTGAGGGTGTGAGGGCAAGACAACCATTTGCATATTAGCTCTTTATTAAATATGAGGATATTTGCTTATCAGACTGAGGGATAGTTAAAATTTTTTTCTGAAATTATTTTTTGGAGTTCCTCAACTAGTCAAACATGAGCTATATAATATAATGGTCTTTTATTTCGAAAAATAAAGGATTTGAGCACATAAGAACTAGAAATTTTTTATTATACCACATTACCAAACAACTTCCTAATGTTTGGTAATGTGGTATAATAAAAAATTAAGTATTTGGTCTTTATCCCTGGTTCCAGGCAGAGCCCCTAAAACTCTTAAGTGCTAAGAGCAACTTCTGTAAGCTAATGAGATAGTGTGGAATTTCAGCCCAGTCCCCAACCTCCAGGAAGGGGCAGGGGCTAGAGACTGAGTTCAATCTCTAAAGGTCAATGATTTAAATCACACCTAAATTATGAAACTTACACAAAAGTCCCAACAACAGGGTTTGGGAATTGGTGCTGCTGAACGCACTGGTGAACTGGAAGGGTGGTGTGAAGGGAGAGTGGTGGACTCTGCCCTCCCCCTGCCCACCCCAGCCCTGCTGTCTCTTGTGTGGCTGTTCCTGAGTTGTACCCTTTTAATAAACCAGTAAACATAAGTGAAATTTTTCCTTAAACTCTATGGGAATCTTTCTAGCAAATTACCTAACCTGAGGACCCCAGAATTTGTAGTTGAGTGGACCATGACCGTGGGCACACCCAAGGCGAGGGCAATCTGTGAGCGGACAGCAAGCTCCAGTCACTGATGTGAGAACAGGACTCATCTGCAGGACATCCAGTTGATGTCAGAGAACTGGAGAATTGGTCAGTGACAGAAAAAAAGACACTACAGGTAAGAGTTTTTTCCTGACATTAAATTTGATGAAAAGCATACAAACTGGATGAAGGCCAGCACTCAGA